TGTTAAAGCTCATCCGTTCGGGGGCCAGGTGGGGAGAAGTTAAAGGGAATATTAATATATTTTGAAAGAGGGTATAGGGGTGACAAACCATAATTAAATCTATAGAGTTGATTGGCCCTTTTTTGTTTCCTATTAAAAGGACTGAAAAGATATTTTAAGTGACCCATCATTGATAGAGTGCAGGCATGTCTAATTCATACCAATACCCTTGAAATATAAAATAAATATAAAATAATAAAAATATCAAAAATATCGGAAATTGACTCAAATAAAATGTTCCTAGACATTAGATAAAAACTATGGATTCCGACATAGAGATAAAAATACTAACTCAGGTAGATTTAAATAATAAAAAAATGATTAAATTTTTTGTCATTTGTAATTCTTCTTAAAAAAGAAACAAAATTTAAATGTTTGGACCTAATAAGAAGTTTCGTGTATTTCTTTGCTATACTTAGCTTAATATCTTTACTAAACACAAATGTATGATAGGTCTGATACTGGAGAAAATGCTAAAGGAATATAAGCAACTCAACTTTAATTATGATGAAAAAGGGAGTTGAGCCAAAAATCGCGAATCATAAATCTTAAAAAATTGCTGAAAAGGGGGTTTAAACTTTGAAAGAACATACAAATAATTATAAAATAGATGAATACAACTTCTGATTCAATCTGATGAACTTCTGTTCTGAGAATTTAAATTAAAATTTTTTTCCATACACCACCAAGAGGGAGAAGAGGGAGATGAGGACACAATGTGCAAAATCGTTAATTTGTTAATTACCGTTAATGGTTCAATCAAATTCGCTTTACAAAAACATCAGATGGCAATGGAAGTAATCATTGGATTAATTATTTTAAAATGAAGATCACAGGAAATATTTTTAAATTTTTCGCGCGAACACTCCCTTTAATTAAAATTCTTCCAGGATATGGTTGAAGAGGCCTGTGATTTTCTATGGGAAAATTTCTTCGTCGACGAACCAATCAGCAAATCTCTGGACTTGAGGCAAACAAATTAATTGTGAAAAATTTCTAAAATATTATTTTTTAATGTAAGAGGATTTTAACACATTTAATTAAAAAAATAAGTTATAAATATAAATAAAAGTTTTATTTAGTCGTTCCTTCATCACAGAGCATATTCTTTTCAAAAAATATCTTGCATCAGGTTTTTACTTAAAATAAATAGTATTATATTAAAGTATAGTGAAGTAAATTGAATTTTATGTTCAATTGTTACATTTAAAAGTTTTTGGTTTGTCGAAACATTTTTTAATATATCTGTCTATATCCATCTATCTGGTGTCTCATGGCAATAAACCTCATATCCGGAAAAACTGTAAAACCGTAAAACAACAACTGCTTTCTCCAGTAGTGTATAATGGGTTACCCATTATACACTACTTTCTCCTTTGAGAACATTTCTGATACAAAGGAACCACTGCTTTTAGAGAAAGCCGACCAAGTTTTTTTTGTTTTACGGAATATTTGTGTATTTGTCAAAAAAAGATCTAAACATTTTTTTAAAATTGTAGTTGTAAATCCACAACTACTTGCAAAAGATTTGCAACCCTGAAACCAGGGTTGCAATGAAAGATTGCACCCCTAGGGACAGGCTTGCAATTTAACATTGCAACCCTATTTTCAGGGTTGCAATGTAAATATAAGGGATCATTATTGTCAAAATTTTTTTCAAAAGTTGAAAAAATTTTAAAAATTCCATAGATTTGTAATGACTTCACCAAATCACAATTGAAATGTGATTATGTGGGCTTATTTGCAACATATAATGATTTTTTTGTTCATTGAAAGAAAAATGAAGATCCTTGCAACCAAGGTATCCATTTTTCAGTGTTTTCCAAAATCTTTGAACCACGCTCCCTCCCCCCCATTTAATAAATGCAGAAAAATTCCTCTGGTTTCGAGCCTTGCATTTCATAGGTTTCTATGTTCTTGTGACCATGGATAAACTTGTACCTATCCGTCAAATAGTAAACCCACGCCAAGAATTGTTTTGTAGCAGTATAAGAAAATACAGGGAGCAACGAAGATTTCTAGGCGACTGCAAAATTGTTTATTTACGTTAGAAGTCTAGTGAGGGGAGGAAGGCCAACCACAACAATTTGTTGTCCGAGCCATAATCTCCTCATTTTCTCGTTCGAGCCACCTCAAAATACTTTTAAGTGTGTAATCTTAACAGATAAAAATATTTTTTAAGAATCAGTCCACGTTAGGTCATGCATGAAATATTGGATTTTTGTAAATCGAAAAAAAAGTTTTAATTGAATTAAAGTTTTCAAGTTAATGTCCTTAAATATTTCTGAATTCTGATTCTGAATCTCTATAACATAAAACAAAACTATTTATCTCAACCCATAACCCTTTTCCCTTCGATTACTTTTTTTACGATTTCCCCCTCCCTCCCCCTTCTAACCCCCCTCCCCCCAGGGCAGATATGGGTATGAAAAGTTTAAAGTTTAATAAAAAACCTAAACTGTTTTACAAGGTTTAAGTTACACAATACAAAATCTCTTATCAAGGTGAAATGTAGACATTATGATATCAACTTACATCTATATCATGAATTAATATTATTAATTTAGTAGAAATTCGCCACTCACATTCAAAACATGTTAATATTCCGGTTTTATAAATAAAAAAAACCACACAGTTTAAATACTTAAATCAAAGTTAAATAATAAGCCATTAAAAACAAATAAAATACTTCTGTGAAATCTAAATTCTAGAGCCTAAACCAAAGGCTTCAACAAACTTTAGATTTTTTTTGTTCAAATGAAAAACAAATAAAAGCTCCAAACTTTTGAATTTGTGGAATTGGAGTATCGTTAATCTTAAACGAACACCAAGATTAAGATATCAATTCTAAATCCGGAGATTTAAAATTCACAAAATGTTGACATTAAATTAAGTATAATATTAGTTAACAAAAATAGTATTACGTAAGAACTGATAACCTAAGAAAAATTTCTTATTTTTAATTTTTAAATCCAAGATTAGCTTACAGGGATAGGCCCCCCCCCCACCCACCAAATACAAAAATAAATGTTTTTAAATGGCAGTTCTTAAGATTTTTACATTTTTGTCTGCAACATTTTTCATTTTATAAAAGATATATTTAATAATTTGATAATGTTTGAGTTATAATGACTGCAATTCATAGTTATAGATATGACCTGAAATTAGAAAACTTGACTCTTGAGTTATGTCTAGGTTTCTAAAATCCATTTTTCTTCGCATACATTTGCATTATTATTTTTGACCCACATTTGTATGCAAATTTTGAGTTTTTAGGGCTTTAACCAAATTTTGAAGATATATAACCATAAAATAGAAAAAAGTATTTTTATATTTTGATTAAGAATTGTTTGTTTACGTTTTTAATTGTTCATCCCTGTCTGAGAAAGACGCAAGTTTGGAATGTGTTTTAGAATTTCAGTCAATATTTTAACTTCAGGCTTGTCACAGCCGGGTA